CTGTCGAGGTCCTCACACAGCAGTTTCCAGCACTTACGCTTGCTGGCCTTTATTATCTCCCTGAGTGCTTTTCTTTCCACTTGCCAGGCTTCTTTTTCCTGCTCCGCCATGCGCCCTGCTCTCACCATTCTCTGGTGAGCTCTCCTCGCCGCATTACACTTCCTTCTCTGCAGAGCAATTTCCTCAGACCACCAGTAGACCGCCCGCTTTTTGCCCAGGCGGCGCCTAGGCATCACCTCTCTGCAGACCTCCTGCAATAGCCTTCCGATCCCCTCGTCATCCCATGGTTGCCCTCCTGCGGCTTTCCTCTGCAGTAGCCTCTCCTCCAGCAGCTCCTGATCAATTCTCCTTGCATTCCAAGGTCCGCTACTATCGGCCCGTTGCACCTGCTCGACTACTGTCCCTGTATCACTTCTAAACCCCCACACTATGTAGTTGTGATCGCTCATTGAGTCCACATCTAACACTAGCCACTCCGTCACTAAGTGACTCATCTCGTCCGATATCAGCGTGATATCAATAATTGTCCCTTTGCCTCTTCCCTGGAATGTGGGCACGTTTCCCTTATTCACGCACACCAAACCTAACGACCAGGCCCATTCCTCGACAATCTCTCCCCTGACATTCGTACGTGGTGCTCCCCACATGGGGGATGCAGCATTGACGTCCCCTGCCACTATAGCCCTGCCACGTCCATTAATCCTAATGATCTCCCCAAGATCGTCCAGCCGTCCCTCTAACTGCGCTATTGCATCGTTAGGAGGTAGGTACACGCTGTAAACATAAATACCCCCGACTAACGCCCACACATATCCCACACCCTGTCCAACTTTGTCCACAATCACTCCACCTGTCACCATTATCCCTGCCGCACCTGTCACGTCCCTGAACACACGCATCCCCCTAGTGTCCGGTCCTACCTCCGAGAACACAAGTACCTCCGCCCCCACTTCTCTTGCTACTATCCCCGCCATGTCCAAGGCCACTCTACTATTATTAAGATTGATCTGGAGAACCTTAATCATTACGTGCGTAGTCTATTTGCCGTCCTTCCTCTTGTGCATCCTCGCCTTCACTCACAAGCGTCACCTCCTTCACTACGGGGTTTGGCGCCACCCCCACCCGTCTCTTGTCGTGCGGGCACCCCGTCGTGTACGCCCTATGTCCCTTGCCAGTACCCGGCTGAACTCCCTCACACACAAAACATTCGTTTTCACCCGCGCACTCCCTGACCTGGTGCCCCGCCTTCCCGCACTTAAAACACATGCGGCTCCTATCCACGCCCGTACACTTTGCCGCTATGTGCCCTACTTCCCAACATCTTATGCATCGCGCCTGCTCCGCCAGCACTCTCACCCTGCACGACGTCAGGCCAACCCTGAGGAAACCTGCTCTAGTGATCGCATCCGCCGTTTTCCGGTCGACGAAAACATACGCCACCATCTGCCCTCTCTCGGTTTCCACCATCGTCTTCATCCGACACCTAGCCTTCGGCTCCACTCTCAGTATGGCCTCGAGCACTTCCTCCTTTGTAGTCACGGCGTCCAGATCCCGCACGGCCAGCTTACAGTTCTCCTCAAGGAGCATCACTTCCCGGTCCGTAATGGCGGCCTTAATCGTATTCAGCACCGGCGCTGCCTTTCCCGCCCCTCTCTCCACCCGCAGGAGTATATCACCCGTCCGTGTCTTTGTTATGCCTTCTATCCTGGTACTGACCCCCGTCATGTCTACCTTCCTGACCCGTCTCAGCACTTCCTCCATGCCGTTCTCCCCCTTCAGCTTGATCAGCACCGCCTCCGGTCTCGGTCTCCTTCTGACATTTGCCGCTGTCGTAGTTCCCTCGCTGCCGCTCGATGGGTCAACTTTGCTCTTCTGTCTTCTTTTCCTTACCCGCTGCCACTCCCCCTCCGTTTCCGTACCAGCGGCGTCTGTCGTCTCGCGGTCTACGAACTTGAGGTTCTTCGCCCTCTGCCTGTTGATCTCAGCAATCCTTAGGGCGGCTTCTCCACTCGACCCGGCCTTCGGTCCTTCCTGGCCTATCGCTTCCGCGTACGTTTTGCGAGGACTCGTCTGGGTTGTCACCTCAGTTTTCTCCATCTCACTCGCCGTCTGTACCTGGCTCTCCTTCGTCGCTCTCGGCGCCACCACAACTGGTCCAACCTGGGGCACCCTGACCACCGCCGTTTGTCCTTTCACTGCCGCCACCTTCAAGGCCCTCACGTAAGAACTCCACCTGCGCTCGATCATGGTCCTATGGTTTTCTAGGGCCGCGAACTTCTCGCTGATCCTCCACGTCATCTCCTTCAGCCGCTTGTTGGTATTCGTCGAACCACGAATAAATCCCATCGCCTCGTCGATGGCCAGCCTTACGTCGCCTTCCATCATCGACTCCTCAGTCTGCATCTTTCTGATGTCACCCAAGTCGGTAGCGGCCGACCTGGGGGACACCAGAACCGTCTCCTCCTCTTCGTCCGCCCTTCGCCTCTGTTTTTTGGGCCTCACGAGCTGGACAGTCTCCTCGTCGGTCGAGGAACTGTCATTCCTCTTCCTACTACTGGGTCTCCTGACAGGTCCTGCTAGAGGTGTTTCAGGCACCACCTCGTCGCTCCTGTATTCGTCCCCTTTGTTTCCACCGCCGCTAGCATATTGCCCCGGTGGTGGCGTCCGTAGAACCTTCGGTCGGCCCTCCCCAAACGCATATCCCTCCGATCCGCTCATCTTGGCGCAAAAGCGTCCACACTACCCTACTATGTACACGAACTATCCCTAATTCTAATAAATGCACGAAGTACCCAAGAGTCCTATTTACCCCGCACAATTCGTCCAAATCCTAGCTAAACCTAACTAATATTTACAAAAGTTCACCTCGCGGATGGTCTTACGCCTAACTAATCTACTATATACAAAAGTCCTACGCCCCCGTTAACGCGACGCGCAGGGGTTGCTCCCACCCCCCCGAATGGGGTGTCGAAAGACGCGGGTTTTCACCCCGAACCTCACGCACTTTGTCCCGATCCGATCCGAACACTCGTTCACCGTCTAGCACCCTATCTGTTCCTGACACGCACAAACAGATAACGCTATCGCGCCCACACGTGCGACGCGATAACGCTGAAAAACACTACACGTGTTCACGCCTACCTGTACTAGGCTACCGCAATCACTCCCGGCACACCGCAGCCCTCCTTCCGCACCCCCAAAACACGTGGCTGCTACCACCCCCGTGCGTAGGGGTCGTCGTTACCCCCTCGTGTGGGGTGTCCAAATACTCGTCTTTTCAAGCCGTATCCGCCGAATTTTGTCCCGGCCCGTTACCGCCCCCCCTTCCGCCGCCAAACGCCTATCTGTCGCTATCGCCGAAAATTTGATAGGCCGGTAGCACCTAAAGGCGTGGGCCGATAAGGGCGTCCCGGTGCGGGTTGGACTCCTTGCACCTAGTCCTACCTTCTGATAGTCTCCCTGATGTTATCGCCCTCTCGGTTACCAATTTCACTGCCACGAGGTCCCAATTGATAACGGGTTTTCCAAAATAAGCTTAAAGAAAACTTAAAAAATTTGTAACTCCCGAACCACTGGTCCGATCCACGGAATTTTTGCTCCGTTGGATTCGGTTTTTAAGCGCGCATCCAACGGTACCACTCGCAAATTTGCCGCACAAAAACTCAACGCCACTAATTTAAAACGCTCCGGAGCTCGCGAAAACGCGTCCGTTCGCCTCGAAACTTCGCTAGCGACTAACCTAACCTAACCTAACCTAACCTAACCTAACCTAACCTAACCTAACCTAACCTAACCTAACCTAACCTAACCTAACCTAACCTAACCTAAACCTAACCTAACCTAACCTAACCTTAACCTAACCCAGACCTAACCCAAACCCAACACAAACCTTACCCAAACCTTACCTAACGTACCTACCTATTTAATAAATGTATAGGTAGATGAAAAAAGTTTCCCAAACTACTAAAAATTAGCAAAGTCCTTTCTACTTTTAAAATGGGCGAAATAGACTCAAATGATAATTACCGACCGATCTCACTATAGTTCCGTTAATTTCTAAAATATTTGAAATGTTATTGAAAGAAAGACTAGTAAAGTACATTAATAAACCTCTTATTCTTTCAGACTCCCATCAGTTTGGATTTAGAAACGAGCGCTCTACTATACAAGCTATTTATGCTGCCATATCAATCATAACAAATAGACTTGAAGTTCACGAAACAATAGGTATGACTTTACTTCATTTAAGTAAAGCATTTGATTGCGTTTCACACGAGCTATTATTAGAAAAATTGTATAGGTACAGAGTTAGGGGACAACCGCCGTACTACTAAAATCGTATTTAAGTGACAGAGAGCAATGTGTAGAATGTATAAGGGTAGCAAATCTAAAGTGCTTTCAATACTTTTCCAATACAGATGCAAACGTGTATCTCTGTTTTCCCTTGCGAGAAGGGGAAGGTATGCTTGTAGCAATTTGAAATAGTGTGTAAGGTAGGTAGTAGATAGTTAGGGTAGTTCAGGTTAGAGCTGTATGATATTTTGCATAGTTTTAGGCAAATTTAACACTAGATTTAACAATTTAGTTATCATAAGGGCATTTCCCACTTGGAAATTCTTGGGATATCAATTTTGGGAAAAACGGATATTTTTCGAGGTAGAGTAGATTGGGTTAGCTTTTCGTGCGGCTAGGGAGATAGAGAATTATAATTATTGGAATTCACTGTTTATCAGGATTTATCTCCTAGCTCCTGTATCTGATACTGGTTGGCTGATCGAATTGATGGTATAGTTGGGAATCAGTATAAGTAGTTTGTTTTATCAGATTTGAAGCAGCCTGAAGGTAAATTTAATTACAACTTTTCTAAATTATTAAAGCTATCATTTACAGAGAATTCCAATTGGGAATTTGATTAGTGTATATAGTTAGGAAACAACGTCGAATTAGAATATTAGGATGGTAGTCATAAGTTTGAGGTAAGATAAATAATTGATAGATAGTGTAGTATTAAAACTTTGTAATTTGTAGTTTAGAACATTGCGGACGAGTTGCAAGCTATAACATCTAGGTAAGAATTAGGTATCTCTTAAGCTAGATATAGAGTATCTCATAACTTTCAGCTTTTTTTGTTCCGCTGCCTAAAATCTGGCACTTACTGGTACCTTACCTTGCTGCATCTGCGTTTGTTCTGAAATAAAGTGGGAGAATAAAAATTAATTAATCATAATTAACCTGTATTTGCATACTTACAATTTTTGTGGCTTTGAGTTGATGAACCCTCTTCAAGGGCTATGTAAACTGAAATCAAAAGAGGTAATTCTTACCATTTAATTACAAATAATTACATTCATGATAATATTATACTTACCTGTGAAGGAAAATTCGTTTTGTTCTCAGTTTGGGAGGTCTATTTGTACGAACCTCTATTTGGCCCAAATATAAACAGGGTGCGGGGCTAGCTAGCGAATCCAGAACCTGTATTAATTACCGTAGTAAGATATTGTTGACACTGTTGATTATTTGCGGTGTGGACGAATTAATCCTATTAGTTTTTTTTCTTATTATTGTTACCGTGCTTCACACCACAATTATAATTTGTAGTTACACACTAATCATATTTAATTTTAAATCGAAATACAGACGTATTAAATTCCTCTCTGCCACAATACCTAGTTTTTTTCACCTTCATTATGCTATGCTTGGAAGAGCCTATCCTCCTTGATCAAGAGGATTTATTACCTCGCTAGATCTGGCGCCCTTAAGATTTGAGTTTTGTAGTAGCAAGTTTTCCTGGCAGAATACCGAACTTTACGACCCTCACGTTGAATGTTAGCCGGCTACTGAGAATAAATCCAAGTTTAGTAGTGAATTTGTATTCTCCTAATCAGATAGTAATTTTATTTCGCAGCATGCTTTCAATGCTACCTAACCTCTAACCTAACCTAACCTAACCTCTAACCTAACCTCTAACCTAACCTCTAACCTAACCTCTAACCTAACCTCTAACCTATTATCACCCCCTATTACCCTTCCCTTTGGTCGTAAAGGGGTAAAAGTTGTACCGGAGACTTTCTAAGGTCCGTACAAACGTGTGTGCCAAATTTCGTCAATTTTTAATTTTTTTTGTCATCCCCTAAATCGCCCTCTAGCGCCCTCGTTTATATATGACCCCGAACGTTTTATGATTGGATTTTTGCTTTTTCGACGAGATCTATCCAACGCCGGTCGAATTTTGAAAATCGGACGGTAAATAAAAAAGTTTTTTTTTTAAAATAGGAAGGGGGGACCAAGGGATGATTATGAAAAAAATTTTTTGTCTGCGATTTGGACCGTAATTTTTTTGTGCGCTCTACTCGACCGGCGTTTAAGAAATAAGTAATCCGTTCCTCGATCGGCCTTTTGGTTTTTGAGAAAAAAATTTTTTAAAATTTTGACAAAATTTGGCAATCTTTGAGAGGCTGCCCCCTCGTTATTCGCGAGTCGATCTTAAAGTGTGAGGTATCGTTGGAAAGCCGCGTTCTTTGGCTTTCGAAATTGCCCCTCGACCCCGACATGTGACCTCGACTTTTCGGAGTTATTACCCCAAATGTCTCGAAAAACACTTACGGCCATAACTCCGACGTTTTTGAGAAACTTGAGTGACCCTTTGGGTCTATCGACGCGTCTTTAAATGGCCTTTCCGACGATGTATAACTTTCGAAAATCAAACACCCCCCGAGTGTTAACCTAACCTAACCTAACCTAACCTAACCTAACCTAACCTAACCTAACCTAACCTAACCTAACCTAACCTAACCTAACCTAAACTAACCTAACCTAACCTAACCTAACCTAACCTAACCTAACCTAACCTAACCTAACCTAACCTAACCTAACCTAACCTAACCTAACCTAACCTAACCTAACCTACCTAACCTAACCTAACCTAACCTAACCTAACCTAACCTAACCTAACCTAACCTAACCTAACCTAACCTAACCTAACCTAACCTAACCTAACCTTACCTAACCTAACCTAACCTAACCTAACCTAACCTAACCTAACCTAACCTAACCTAACCTAACCTAACCTAACCTAACCTATCCTAACCTAACCTAACCTAACCTAACCTAACCTAACCTAACCTAACCTAACCTAACCTAACCTAACCTAACCTAACCTAACCTAACCTTTTTTTTTTTTTTTTTTTATTGAGGTTCGGGAAACCTTTTATAGGCTTCCCCGCTTGGCTCTATAGCGGGGGGTGTGTAGGACTCCCTTCCATCTAGGAAGGTTTACCCACTAAAACCCTTTCCTCTCTCTATGACCTGGTGGCTCGGCCGGGTATCGCCTGTTGGCATTCTTCGCGGCCGAGGATGGTCCGGTGGCCGTTGTTCGCCACCTAGATTTAAGCCTTGTGTCTTTGCCTTTCACACTTATGTGTCACTCTCCCCGCACTATGTCCTACTCCACGAGTCCCTCTCTCTCGCACTACACACTACCCGCCAGTACCGCGCTATCGCGCCCCAACTCGCCTCGTCTCGCAGCATCGTGCTTATTAGGTTGTGTGGCCCTAGTCGCACTCCCACCTCGGTTTCCATCACCGCCCTCTCCGCCGCCCATCTCTGACACTCAAACGCTGCGTGCCCCTGATGGTCTCGCTGTCCGCAATCTCGGCACCTTTCGTCCACTCTCTTGCCGATCTTGGCAAGGAACACCCCGTTTTCGCCGTGCCCCGTTAACAGCTGCGTGAGGTGGTAATCCACTTCCCCGTGGCTTCTATCCTTCCATTCTGTCAGGTCCGGTATCAGTGTCTTCGTCCATGACACTCTCGTCCGCCAAAGTGACTGCCACTCCTCCGTTCTCCTCGCCTCGCTCCACCCGTTCGCTCTGCCGTTACAGAGTACTTCCGCGGGGGGAATCCCAGCCACCACCATGACGTCGTCGGCCTGCACCGTCCTATATGCGCTACATATCCGGACTGCCAGCAGCCTGATCACCCGGTTCATGATGGCCATCGCACTCGCCCACTTCGTTGCCGCCTGCCATGCCTCGGCCGCATACAACAGTCCGGACATGACCGCCGACGCCATCACCCTTCTTTTGCTTGCCCGGACCCCTCCGGTATTTGGCATTATTTTACTCAGCGCCCCGTATAGTCTCATGGCCTTCGCACTTGCTTCCCGTGCGTGGGGGATGAATGACAAATTTTTGTCGATCCACACCCCCAGCACCTTAATCTTGCCCTCGGATGTAATCGTCTGTCCCAGGACCTCCAAACTAACCTCCGGTATCCGCCTCTTGCCCGTAAGCAACGCCAATTTGGTTTTCTGAGGCACCAGTTGTAGTCCCCTTCCTGCCATCCATCTTCCCACCCTCTCTATGGCTCTACTCATCTTCTGTTTCGCCCTCTCCAGCTCCCTATCGCGCACAATTACCGTCAGATCGTCGGCAAAGGCAACCATTACCACCCCACTTTCCTGTATCCCATCTAACACTCCGTTATACATTGCATTCCACAGCAGGGGCCCCAACACCGACCCCTGCGGCACTCCCGCGCTATTCACAAACTCGTGCAATTCTCCGGACGGTTTCACCGCCCTCACCACTCTACCTGTCAAATAACTTCGCACCAGCCTCACCAACTGCCACGGCACCCCGAAACCGTACAGCGCCTCCACAATAGCCTCCCGTGATGCGGAGTTAAAGGCATTCCTCACATCCAAGGATGCCACCAGACAAACTTCTCGAGTTCTCCAACTTCCGTCGTTTGCTTCCGCCACCTGCTTGATAATCGCCTTAAGGGCCTTGACAGTCGATCTCCCCTTCCTAAAGCCGTATTGCGCAGGGCTCAGCTTGGGTTCTATAACCTCCTCCAACCTCCTCTTAACAACTTTCTCTACTACCTTCCCCGCGAAGTCCGTCAGGCAGATAGGCCTGTGCCCCCCACCACTTTTAGGCAATAACACCAGTGTGCTCTCTTTCCAGCGGGCTGGGTAGACCCCCCTTTCAATCGCATTATTGATAACGGACACCCAAGCCTCCGGTATGGTCGTAGCCGCCGCCTTAACCACTCGCGCAGGCACCCCGTCCGGTCCTGGCGCCTTCTCGTTTGGTAACGTCTTTGCCGCCTCAACCACCTCAGCTTCCACCACCTCTTCTAGTCTCCCCTCCGGGTCTTCCTCTTCCTCTCCTGATCTCAGTTCAGGGTGTTCGGGAAACAATCCGCCCACAGTATCGAGAAAAGCCTCGTCGGTCCATCCCACTTCTTTTACTTTCCTCCGGATCTTGCCCGTGACGATCTGGTACCCCTTCCCCCAGATATCTCTGTCGAGGTCCTCACACAGCAGTTTCCAGCACTTACGCTTGCTGGCCTTTATTATCTCCCTGAGTGCTTTTCTTTCCACTTGCCAGGCTTCTTTTTCCTGCTCCGCCATGCGCCCTGCTCTCACCATTCTCTGGTGAGCTCTCCTCGCCGCATTACACTTCCTTCTCTGCAGAGCAATTTCCTCAGACCACCAGTAGACCGCCCGCTTTTTGCCCAGGCGGCGCCTAGGCATCACCTCTCTGCAGACCTCCTGCAATAGCCTTCCGATCCCCTCGTCATCCCATGGTTGCCCTCCTGCGGCTTTCCTCTGCAGTAGCCTCTCCTCCAGCAGCTCCTGATCAATTCTCCTTGCATTCCAAGGTCCGCTACTATCGGCCCGTTGCACCTGCTCGACTACTGTCCCTGTATCACTTCTAAACCCCCACACTATGTAGTTGTGATCGCTCATTGAGTCCACATCTAACACTAGCCACTCCGTCACTAAGTGACTCATCTCGTCCGATATCAGCGTGATATCAATAATTGTCCCTTTGCCTCTTCCCTGGAATGTGGGCACGTTTCCCTTATTCACGCACACCAAACCTAACGACCAGGCCCATTCCTCGACAATCTCTCCCCTGACATTCGTACGTGGTGCTCCCCACATGGGGGATGCAGCATTGACGTCCCCTGCCACTATAGCCCTGCCACGTCCATTAATCCTAATGATCTCCCCAAGATCGTCCAGCCGTCCCTCTAACTGCGCTATTGCATCGTTAGGAGGTAGGTACATGCTGTAAACATAAATACCCCCGACTAACGCCCACACATATCCCACACCCTGTCCAACTTTGTCCACAATCACTCCACCTGTCACCATTATCCCTGCCGCACCTGTCACGTCCCTGAACACACGCATCCCCCTAGTGTCCGGTCCTACCTCCGAGAACACAAGTACCTCCGCCCCCACTTCTCTTGCTACTATCCCCGCCATGTCCAAGGCCACTCTACTATTATTAAGATTGATCTGGAGAACCTTAATCATTACGTGCGTAGTCTATTTGCCGTCCTTCCTCTTGTGCATCCTCGCCTTCACTCACAAGCGTCACCTCCTTCACTACGGGGTTTGGCGCCACCCCCACCCGTCTCTTGTCGTGCGGGCACCCCGTCGTGTACGCCCTATGTCCCTTGCCAGTACCCGGCTGAACTCCCTCACACACAAAACATTCGTTTTCACCCGCGCACTCCCTGACCTGGTGCCCCGCCTTCCCGCACTTAAAACACATGCGGCTCCTATCCACGCCCGTACACTTTGCCGCTATGTGCCCTACTTCCCAACATCTTATGCATCGCGCCTGCTCCGCCAGCACTCTCACCCTGCACGACGTCAGGCCAACCCTGAGGAAACCTGCTCTAGTGATCGCATCCGCCGTTTTCCGGTCGACGAAAACATACGCCACCATCTGCCCTCTCTCGGTTTCCACCATCGTCTTCATCCGACACCTAGCCTTCGGCTCCACTCTCAGTATGGCCTCGAGCACTTCCTCCTTTGTAGTCACGGCGTCCAGATCCCGCACGGCCAGCTTACAGTTCTCCTCAAGGAGCATCACTTCCCGGTCCGTAATGGCGGCCTTAATCGTATTCAGCACCGGCGCTGCCTTTCCCGCCCCTCTCTCCACCCGCAGGAGTATATCACCCGTCCGTGTCTTTGTTATGCCTTCTATCCTGGTACTGACCCCCGTCATGTCTACCTTCCTGACCCGTCTCAGCACTTCCTCCATGCCGTTCTCCCCCTTCAGCTTGATCAGCACCGCCTCCGGTCTCGGTCTCCTTCTGACATTTGCCGCTGTCGTAGTTCCCTCGCTGCCGCTCGATGGGTCAACTTTGCTCTTCTGTCTTCTTTTCCTTACCCGCTGCCACTCCCCCTCCGTTTCCGTACCAGCGGCGTCTGTCGTCTCGCGGTCTACGAACTTGAGATTCTTCGCCCTCTGCCTGTTGATCTCAGCAATCCTTAGGGCGGCTTCTCCACTCGACCCGGCCTTCGGTCCTTCCTGGCCTATCGCTTCCGCGTACGTTTTGCGAGGACTCGTCTGGGTTGTCACCTCAGTTTTCTCCATCTCACTCGC